CCACGGAACCTCTAATCCGCCATCTGTTCGCCAGATTGGCGGATTGAAGAAAATCAATCCGCATCCGTCCGCCAATCCGACGAATGTGGATTGAGCGGATAGACGGATGGATGTGAATCAGTTTGACAGTTTAAAATTTTATAAATTTTCAATATAATTCAACTTGTGCATTTCCTCAAAAAAAAGAAGAAAGTATTACAGTCAATGACTTAAAAAAAATTACAATCACTGCATACCTCATCCAAAGCAAAAAAGTTTAAAACTTTAAAAATATCACAACCATAGCATGCCTCATCCACATAAAATATTACAATATATGGTTATTAAAATATAAAAACAATTCAAACCACTAAAACCATAAACAGAGCAGTAGTAGAGATTGTATGTCTCTGTATTGTTACATCTATATCTGTTTTTGAAAACAAAAACCAACAAGCATATATCATATTGTAGACACCCCATTTTTGATCGTCCTCAAGACTTGGATGTCACCATTGGAACACTTGGTGATTACCCTTGTTTGTGTTCGTTTGGAGTTCCCGGAGGTCTCGGCACACGCGCCTTGCCTCAGGATCTCCGAACTCGACTGTTTAGTGTCTGGTTTTGCACCAAACACTTGTGTTTTGCCTTGAAGGGGCAGGGAATGCCTTGTGAGGCATCTCCACACACCACCGGCCATGGCCAGGGGCCACCGGCTGGTTTTTGTTTCCATCGGCAATCTATTTTGCTGGTCGGCACATTTTGTTGCCGGTCGGCACTCCTTTTTGCCAAAATGGCATCTTTGGCCGGCCGACTACTGTGCATCTGCTTTTGCAGATATTTTATCACAGCTGTCTTGCATTTGGCTCCCCTTCATACACGTGTATGGAGGGATCTCTCTCTTTAGAAGCTTGTCTTGTAAGCTTTACAAGACAAAAGGCTCTATAAGAGAGAGTCTTCTCTCTTGGCCTTAAAAAGGTTAGACACTTTAGACATTTTAGAGGGTTTAGACAGCCATTTTTAGGGTTTGAGTTCTAGGGTTAGGAATCCATACATATCCTATCTCTGTATCTCCCTCTTGTGTGTGTTCTAGGTGTTTTAGTCCATACTATTGCACACAAACACCTAGTGCTTCACCTTCCTTTAGCTACTGAGGTTCTAAGAGGCTGGTTTTGGTGTTTTGGAGCCGGATTCAAGCCAAAGAGGGCTGTTGGAGCACCATTGTTGAAGGGATCTTCAAGGGTAAGAAACTTGCCTTTATATTCCCCTTTTTTGCATTGCTTTTCTACCTGTCTTAAAATCGTTTTTGAGCTTAGTGTATAATACAAAAAATTTCTGTTTTTAGGCCCTCTAAATTGTTTGTTTAGAGTGTTTTGTGGTTTGGAGGTGTTTGACCCCTCTTAGGCCTTGAAAGGCCCCATTTTGTGCTATTTTGAGTGAGTTTCGAGACCTTGATGTTTGGGCCTCCTCACCACTGAAATCTTGAGGGATTTCAGTGGCGGAGATGGTGCCTTGAAGTCTCCAAAAGGGGAGGGCCACCCCCTCTCCTTGTTGTCATTGAAAGGGACCCTTTTTGGCCTCTTGAGGGAGCATCATGTTAGAGTGTGTATTGATCATGTCTTGGCTGTTTTCCATGCTTATTATGCCATGATATAACCTTGTTGTGTGTTGGTTTTGGTACACCATGCATGCTTAGCATACCTACCATGTAATGCCATGTTATTGCCTTAATATGCCTTAGGTTGTTAGCCTTTGTTCTAGCATGTTTTAGGCTTAGCCTTGTGAAGGTTTTGTGCTTGTTTTTCCATGTTTAAGGTCTGTCCTAGGTTGTTTGGGTCGGATTTGGCATGCTTAGTATAGCCCCTTTACATTTTGGCTTGTTGGCCTTAAGTGTATGAATGTATAGCATGGCATTCTTGCATTGATTTAGTGTTTTGGAACTATCCACCATGCCATTTCAGTCCCCTTTGCATGCCTATATGTTTGCCTTGGATGTCTCCTTAATGCTTTGAAAGCTTGTGTAGCATGTTCCATGTTTTGGCCATTGTACATGCCTTTAAATTTGAGCCACTTAGATGCCATCTAGAGGGTCCCCTTTGCATGGTCTAGGTCTGCCTTGAACCTATTTTAAGTCCTCTTAGTCATGTTAGGCTTGGTTGGCTTGGTCATGGTTCAAGCCCCTTTGATTTGCTTCAAGCACTTGGGCCATTTGTTGCATGTTTAGCTTGACTTGTTACTTGGTTTGGCACTATGTTTTAACATGATTTTCAATGCTTACCTTGCATGCCATATGTCCATGATTACCTTCTTTCAAATGTGTTTGAGAGTTGTCCCATTTGTGCCTAAGTGTTGGCTCCTTTAACATGTGCATGTGTGTATGTGTCTAGTCCTTTATTTTGGTCACTTTGGCCACTGTTTTAGGCCTATTCAGAGTTGCCTAAATCATGTATAAGTCCACATTTCCATCAATTTGCATTGCCTCATGTTTGCTTGTATGCTTGCATAAGTGTCTTGCCATGCCATGTTGCATCCTTAGCTCGCATGCCTAAGTTGCATTGCATCTTGCATGCATGCCTTATTCCTTGACTTGGTGATAGGAATTGGTCCTTGGTTTGTTTGTTTGGTTTGCATTTCATTTGACACGAAAGTTGCACACTTGATTCTTTGGGCCATCATGCATGGAAATGCGTGATTGGTGGTCCGAGAATCGAGACACATGTCCTTTTGAGTTACAAACATGATAGGGGACATGATTGGTGCATACATTGTTTAAATTGTATTGCCATGCAAGTCCTGTCCTCTGCTGCTGTGAGTTGCAGGTTCTGCAGGCATTCTTTGCCGACCGGCAGTATATATTGCCGACCGGCAGTAAATTACCAGCCGATGGATTCATCTTGTGCCGATGACCACAATTCACTGCCGGTGGTAATTCTACTCAGCCGGTGGTGATTCCCAATATCCAGAGAAGCATTCTTGAAACTCTGGCAGTCTTCAGAGAGGCAGAGCAGGGAAAACAGAGGCAGACTATGCATGGCCGTGCACTTCCGAACAGGACCCGAGCATGCGCTGTATCTGGCTCTCCTCCCGAGGCGGTTTACTGCTTTTCCTAATTTAAATTAGTTTGTTAACTAATCAGGCAATTTGTAATATTTAATTAGCTTGTAGGTTAATTATCTGTAATATTTATTTGTACCCTCCGAGTGAGGGCAAATCTGTAATAAGTGTGCGTGAGTGGGTGTATGTCTTCCAACCCCACATCTTTCTTCCCTTTTATTTACCTACTTATGATGGTAGACTAGGGCATATTTTAAATTAGCATACCTTATGCAATGCATGCGTACATTCATACATTTGTCCCACATGCATCGGGCTCGGCGCATCACGTTAACTGCATTTGTATTCCAATTCCAAATTGAATACGTGCATTAATTGGCTGCATTTCATATGCCATGTTAGGTTAGCCGAGCCTATCTAATTGCATCTTGTATGTGTTGCATTAGCCAACTTGACATGAACTAGGATTACGCATATTTGCTAACTAGTTTAATGTTTTGGCACGGAATACGATGTAAGTATTTATGCTTTAGCATCTTGCATGCGTGTGAATGTTAACATGATAGCATGCTTACCATGTGGCTAGATGCTTACGTGATATTACTGATTGAATGCTTGTAGGTGAAAGTTAGATTGCCTGAGTTGGAAACACTCGTTGAAATTTGTGTTTTAGCCTACTTGCGAGTAGCAAATTCCAAAACGTTTTTTCAAAAAACAAACGAATATGCAATACTTTTTTCCAAATTAGGTAATCTAGTCTATACTTGTTTACCGTGCGTACAACATAGTAATTCTAGGCTAATAATTGGAACAAGAACACATAACATTTTCAAAAACGGATATCATGGTTAGTAGAGGTCGGTCTTCGGACCGGGCGAGAGGGGGTGCTCATAGCTGACCTTCCCCAATCGTACTCTAGCTCCCGAGCCGAGACAACTCCGGTGATGACGGACATGTGGCCTTCGGCACCAAGTCAGGGTTTCCTAAATTCCCCCAAAATAAAATATTTAGGTGACGACTCTGTATCTGGCAAAGCAGTCCATGTTTGGCACTTCTTTCCTAAAATCTGTTTTCTCAAAACGATTTGCCAGATTTAGACTCTTTGGTTCAAGATTAAGAACCGTGACACAAATCGAGTCCGAACTGTAGCAGGGTCCCTCGCGGACGTGTTACACATATTTTCTATTTATTATTTTTAGAGATAGATTTAAAAACTAAAAAATATAGATAAATAATACGTTTATTTTTTTCAATTCAAAAAAGATATTCAAGTTGAAAACTTTTTTTCAACAAATATTTAAACTCTTTTTTAATTGAAAACACAAACAGAATATTTAAACAAACTGAAAACACAAAGTCTTATAAATTACTAAGAATGCTCGCAATTTGGCAGCTCGGTTGCAGCTAAAAGAATATCAAATCCGCCATCCGTCCGCCAGATTGGCGAATTGGAAAAAATCAATCTGCAACTGTCCGTTTGTCATCACGCATCCGTCCAAAATGCGGCGGATCGGTTTGGTTCAGTCGGTTTTGGCGGATCGGTATATCCGCTGTGTAATCCATGTCTAATGATTTCAGACAAACATCAAATGGGATATTCATCACCCATCCGTCCAAAATGCATCGGATCAATTTGATTTGGTCGGTTTTGACAGATTAGTATATCCACTATTCACCCCTACTTTTAGATTTTGTAATCCATGTCTAATGATTTCAGGCAAACATCAAATGGGATATTCCAAACGTAAAATAGGGTTAATCTCAAGACTATTAATCTCGGATTAACAATCCCATATAATTCAGTCCAACCAAACAAATAAGACCAACTTGCATTGACCATGCCACCCACCAAACATTGATGGCAAAATCTCAATAAGAACCACCAAGCTGGTAAAGAAGGAACCAACCATAATGCGTAACAAACAAAAGGATTCAAAAGTTAGTCAAGCCGGAAAAAATAACGAACATGAAGTGAGAAATAAAAAGCAACTTCCATTGTCAAATAAAGCTCTAACCATCCAATCCATCCAAAACGATAACAGCTTGTGACTGAAAATAAGCAACACTCAGTAGACAAAATTCCAAAAATTGTTCTTGCCATAATCAAGATGCTGAAAATTGAGAAGAAGTTAGATAGACTGAAATGTCCCTTGATAGTTGAAACCTTAAGAGGTTGCTGCGGCTCCCTTCTTCCTTGGAGCTGCTTCAGTACCTAACCAAACAAACCATAATAAAACTTATCAATCAAATTAAAATTAGAATTATAAATGTAACTAATTAAAACAAAGTCTAACTGCCCTTAGAAAGCAGCAAAGGGTATACCTTCTCTGAAGCCACTCTTGAACCTGCGGGGAACATTACGGAGATACCTCATACGGCCAGTTCCAGTGGTCTTCCTTCGAATTGCCTTCACACTCCAGTTATCTGAAACCAAACTCAATGAAATCAAAAAATCAACAGCTATATCTCTTGGTTTTCCAAAAAGGTAAAGGCAGAAGTTCACATTACCTGATCCTTAAAATTCATTTGAAACAATAATAGTAACAATGAGTATAAAGAATTACACATCCAAACACTTGATAGCATCAATTTGCAACTAAATAAGCATATACTAAGTAAGGAAATAATAAATCAAATCAATCTCAATGTATGCTCCGACACACCTCAAGGATCAAAGGCCCAAAAATCAATTACAAACATCAGTATCATTTAGGAAAGAAACAAAAAGAATGTGAAACAAAAAAAATTACATATGAATTCTAATAACACAAATGACATTATGTCTACCAATCCTTAACATTGGGTGGTTGCCAAAAATTTTTACAAAGGGCAAATCTGAGTCCCGCTGGGTCCATTGCTTTTATTCCAGGCAGACATGGCTTTCTTGTGTGTGGGGTACAGGTGCATTATGAAGGTAATTCTAGGTGTTTTACCAAGGAGGAACTTTGTTTTATAGGGCACTACTCACTAATTTGTATAGTTCATGTGATTCTAACTTATATATATATATATGTGTGTGTGTGTGTGTATATATATGAACATGTACAATTGTGGTTAAAAACATGTACAATTCTTATGATTCTTGCAGAATCTTTTATCATAGGGTTTTTTTTTGTAACTTACGATCGAAGAAGACAAGAATATGAGCGATTAGAGTATTGTTTTGGAAGGATTTTAGAGGCTTTTAAATGCTGACATGGAGACCAACCATGAATGTTCTAATGGACTGCCGTGCCAGTCACATACCAATTTCGGATAACTATTTTGGATTGCCGGATCGAATGAAATCTTGTTTTCAAAAAAATTTATTTATAAAATTCTATAAAATTTGAAACTTGTTCACATTTTCTTGACAAACCAGAGTTATTTTTAAAGTTGACAAATTTGTTGAAACAGTAAACATAAAACTAACCAAAATACCCAAAATTCTAGCTTCAGTCATTTCCTTACTAACATAAACCGATCAACACAAAAATAAATGATAAAAAAATTATCCGAAACATAAAGCAAAATTGAATTATAAAACGAATCTACATAGCTAATCGCATCAAATCAAAGATTAATCGATCTTGTAGAGAGAGAGAGAGAGAGCAGACATGTCCTTTTGCGAGCAGCGGGAAAGGCACAAGCAGAGCATCGACTCTTCTGGAGATGAAAGCTTCGGCGGCCACATCTGACGCAGAGCGTGTGAGTCTTGTTCCTCCTCTTCCCGAAGCTTCCCGTTCCTTTTCCCTGAAATTATTCATCATCATCATATATACATATATATTCATTTTCTATACAAATTCTTCAGCAGATCAGAGAGGGAGAGGGAGAGGGAGAGGGAGAGGGAGAGAGAGAGAGAGAGAGGGTACCATCTCTTCTTCAGTGGCGAAACCCTAGCTGCGGAGTTCTCAGCAGCAAAACGATCTAAATAAAATTGTTAAGATATTTATATTGAAAAAAAAAAAAAAAAAAAAAGATTGTTGGCCCAAGATGCTGGCTTTGGCCTAGTTTATTCACACATGCTTGGTCTGTTCATAAGAGTTTGGCCCATCTCTGTGGTTGCATCCTTTCAAGCCCACTAGAACCCATAAGTAAAACATGAGCTGCCTAAGTGATGATGATAGGACTAATAATAGAAGTGAAGCGATTGATGTTATGTGTTCTATTAAAATTCGAAAAGGTTATTACTTGTGTTAATTTTTTATTTTTTAATTTTTTAAAAAAATTATATAAAAAATGTGAGAGATGATGAAATGGGATTAAAAGTTGAAAAGTGACTTTTAACTCATTTTTTCAAAAGAGACCTATACGTATCTTATAATTATAGAATAAATTGGCATAGTTTTATATACTTTTTGAGTTATAATTATAAAAAAGAAAAATTTATAACAAAATATAAAAAAGTCATAATCAAATATTTAAAAATAATATTCAGTGTATTTGGTTTCAGTTTTTTTAATTTAGTTTTTTGTTTTTTATTTTTATTTTTTTGTTTTTAGTGAATATTTTTTAAATTTTAAATAATTTGTTTACTTTTTTGGATACACATTACTTAGATATATCTAAATAGTAAAATATTTATAAAAAAACATTTTAAAAAATTAATAAATACACAAAAATATGAAAAATATACAGAATTTTTTTATTTTTTTTGGTATTTAGTGTATTTTTTAAAGATTTTTTTAAAAAAAATATTATACTTTTAAGTGTATTTATGTTAGGTGTGTCTAATTTTTTTTAAAAAAAATTATTTAAAATATTAAAAAAATTAATTGAAAACATTAAAATACTGAAAAATAAAAAAGTAGAATTCTAAAAATCAGAACCAAACAAGCTGATTACAACTAAAAAATAAAATTAATTATAACTAAAAAAAATGAAGTAACTAAGGATACATATAGTATGAGACGTGTATAATAGAATTCTCCATCAAAAGTTCAACCTTTATATGGGAAATTGGTTTTCTTCACTCACTTTTCAAATGTGTCAATAAAGTATACTTTTTATTTTTTATTGATTCAAAATACTGAATTACATATTTAAAATTATGACCTTTGATATTTTTAAGCTAATAGAAGGTGGTGTTTGATTTACACACTTTGACAGTGTATGAAATGATATCAGATATAATGTAAAGATAGTTGAGGTACATAGACATTAATATTGCATCATGCTTTTGAGTGGACACATCTACAATTTTTGGAGACGTTATCCATTTCCATTGGCATTGTCAATGGTGTCGTAAATTAAATACGATTGGCATGTAATAGGGTCTATTATATTTTATGTTGGAATTTGTTAATTGACGTTACGTGTGCCTATGAACATTGAATTTTTTTCTTTTCAATTTTTATGATAGTTACATACACAAAATCAAATTACACGAAGTATTAGTAATGTACAAGTTAGCACAACGGGACTATTAGAAGTATAAATAATATTTTGTAACTCGAAAAAAGTTGACCCGAAGTGGCTCGAATGCCTAAAACGACGTCGTTTTGGGTATTTTTTTTCTTACTTTCAAATACAGATAGAAGAGGGAAGAGAAGAGAAAGAGAGAAGATGCGAGAGAGGGAATACAAATAGAAGAAAGAGGCGAGAGAGAGAAGGAGAAAAGATGGAGGGAGAACAGATCTATATACACACAAATCTGTGTATACACACATAAGAGACGATGATGGCAGCGCTAGTCAAGGCCGGCCCTACGGTTTAGGGGGCCTAAGGCGAATTTCAAAAATGAGGACCTCTCTTACATTGAAAAAAAAAAGTTCAAGAATAAAATGGTAAGTTACAACTTTTTTATTTGTTTGTAGCTATAAAAAAATTTACTTGCGCATATAATCATTAAAATTATAAATAAAACAATTTAAGGAAACAAAATTAGAGAAAAAAATTATTCAATTAAAATTGATAAAGACCTAGGTAAAAAAATTAGGACAAAATTATTTATTTCACTAAAATCTAATAGATAAAGAAGGCAAACAAAAAAAAAAAATTTTAGGGCCCATATATTGTATGTGTTGTTCTTCTTGGGCCCAAACACTTTTTTTTTTTTAATATATATTTTCATTTTAATATATATGGGTCAAACTACACTTATAAATAAATATGGGCTAAACTATATATGGACCCAATAAAATATTTTGGGGCCTTTTAAATTGATCCTAAAAAAATAAAAATAAAAAACATTGAACCTATAACATTTTACTAAATTTGGGGCCCTATTTTTGGGCCAAATTTTGGGGCCTAAGGCACAAGCCTTACTGGCCTTAGGCCAAGGCCGGCCCTGGCGCTAGTGGGTATCGTCGTCCAGATCCGCAGATCTGCTGGTGGGTCTCTTGCCTTTGATTTTCTCTACCTTTTTTTATTTTTATTTTTATTTTTTAACAGCGGATCTGGATTTGAAGAAGAAGAAGATGAACGAAAAAGACAAAAAAAAATTTGTTGATAATTGTTGGTGGTTGTTGATGATGATGTGCTGTTGAATTTTTTTTTTCAGTTTCTATAAATTTTTTTTTTTTTTTTGGGATGATTGTTGGTTGTTATTGATGATGATGTGTTGTTGTTGTTGATGTTGATGCTCTTTCTCTCTCGGTTCCTTCTCTCTTTCTCTCTCTTTCTTCTTTAGCCTCTCTATTTCAGAGAGAAAAGAAAAGAAAAAAAAAATTCCAAAACAACGTCGTTTTGGATTCGAGCCAATCGGGCCAGCTGCCTTTCAGGCTACGTAGCAGTGCTATAGAAATATTTTCATTCACTAACATTATAATGATTCTTAGGTGAATTCTATCATGCTAACATGACCATTGTTTTTGTGATTTAAATGTGTATGCAGGACAAGATATGCTTATTGTAGACGCGCCCTCAGGCCTCGCTACAGTTCAGACTCAATTTGTGTCGCGGTCCTTAATCTGAACCAAAGAGTTCAAATCCGGCAAATCGTTTTGAGAAACAGATTTTTGAAAAGAAGTGCCAAATATAGACTGCTTTGCTAGATACAGAGTCGCCACCTAAATATTTTTTAAGGGGGAATTTAGGAAACCCTGACTCGGTGCCAAAGGCCACGTGTCCGTCATCACCAAAGTTGCCTCGGCTCGGGAACTTGGGTACGATTGGGGAAGGTCGGCTATGAGCACCCCCTCTCGCCCGATCCGAAGATCGGCCTCTACTAACCATGATATCCAGTTTTGAAAACGTTATGTGTTCTTATCCCGATTATTAGCCTAGAATTACTATGTTATGCG